GTGTGTGTGTGTGTGTGTGTGTGTGTGTGTGTGTGTGTGTGTGTATTAATTTCTTGCTACACTTTAAGACAAGGGTACTGTATTTCTCACGGTTCTTCTCCTTTGTTTTGGTTTTCCCAGACACAGGTATCCTGAAGGCCACTACAGCTCCAAAAGTGGATGGAGCAGTCAGAGCGACTACTATGCAAAGTATTACTCTGGCCAGTATGATTATGGAGGTACGTGCAGCAGCTGTAGCATTAGCAGGTGATTTCCATAGAGTGCCTGTGAGCGTGTGGCCCTGTGCAAGTCACAGTGTTCGCTGATCCAGGGTCACATTTCCTTTCACTGGTCTGTTTTTGTCCTAAGAGCCATAGTGACTGACTCTTCTTTGCATCTGAAAACAGTCATTTGATGACCTCCACTGAGCAGTCACATCTCACTATCATGTTAGCCATTGTAGCTGCCAACACATGGGTGTGATGATTGGTAGTTCTGGAGTGGCCTTGTCCACTTATGACTGCTCAGGTGTGGGCTGATGAAGCAGAGAGAAAGCTGGAGCCAGCTCCTCAGCCTTGTGGGCCACATTTGCATCTGGGTCTGTGTAGCTCAGAGCAGAGCGTTTACTTAGCATACATGAAGCCTTGGATTTGATCCCTAGCATCTCAAAAAAACCCAAAAAGATGCCAGGCATGGTGGCACACGCTTTTAATCGCAACACTCAGGAGGCAGAGGCAGAGACAGATGGATCTCTGTGAGTCCAAGGCCAGCCTGATCTACATAGTGAGTTCCAGGCCAGCTAGGACTATGTATTGAGACCCTTTTTTTTTTTTTTTTTTTTTTAAAAAAAAAAAAAAGGTGCTTGTATTGAGAGAAGAGCAAGCTGGTTGCCCTGAAGTGTCATAGACAGCAGGAAGCAGCTGTCCTCTTGTGGGTCAGGATTTGAGCTCCAGGCCTTGCCTGACACTCCTGAGCCGAGCTTCTGCTCCAGGGAGCTGGGCAGCTCTGTGTGCTGCTGCATCCCTCCACCCTTTGTTCTTTGCTTACAGACCCAGGTCGCTGGGATCACTACTATGGGTCTCGCCTCAGGGACCCTGGCACCTGGGATCGGAGGTACTGGTATGACTCAGAACACCTCCCGTATCGGAAGGAAAACTGCGCTTACAGTGACAGGTTGGTAAAATGCACGTGCGTGAAGGAAGCGTAGAAAGCTGAGGTGTGCTTGCTTGCCCTCCCATGTCTTTGGCGTTAGTCTACTGTAGTTCTGGCCCTTCTTGGAACAGTTTCCTGATGTCTGAAAGAGGAAGCACTTGCCACACCTCGTGCCCACCTTTGGGCTTTGCAGGATGAATCTGCCTCAGATATGTTCCCTCCCAGTGGCTCTGGGAGGACCAGGGATCTGTCTCCTTTCTTCATGTCTCTTCTCCATCCTGCCTATACCCTAGGGCAGGGACCACACTCAAGGTGCACCTGCCATGTGCTCTCTGAGGTCAACTGAGTCTGAGTCTGGGATTTGGTTTCTTATGCCTGGGCTGCAAGATGAGCCAGGATGAAGGCTGTGCCTTAGGATAGAGGGAGGGCCAGCTGCAGCCTCAAGCAGTTCTGGGAAGTTGCACAGTATCCCTGGGAGGTGCCCTTCCAGCTCCCACTCTTCCTGGCCCCTGCTTGCTCTAGGACCGAGAACTATGACGATCATTGGAGGTATGACCCTCGCTTCACGGGTAGCTTCGATGACGACACTGAGCTCCCCAGGGACCCCTACGGGGAAGAGGCGGACAGGCACAGCATCCACAGTGAGCACTCGGCACGGAGCCTGCACAGCACGCACAGCTTGCCCAGCCGCCGCAGCAGCCTCAGCTCCCACTCACACCAGGTGCGCTTGGCAGGGCCAGGGCCAGGAAGAACGGCAGCTGTGTCTGGGACCTGACTCCCTCTTTGTGTCATTCCAGTGGTGTACCCAGCTCACTCTGTCATTCGTGGGAACTCACTTTCCCTGCTTGCTTTCTTTCCCAAGAGTCAGATTTACAGAAGCCACAATGTGACTGCCAGTTCCTTTGAGGCCCCTCATGCCCCAAGCTCATTTCATGGTGATTATACCTATGGCGCCTATGCCAACAATTTCAGCGGCGCCCATGGTTTTCCAGAGTACACCTACCCTGCAGACACCTCCTGGCCTGTTGTGGAGCAAGGTACGTCTCAGTGGTTCAGTGTGCAGCCACCAGCCTGGGATGGAACAAGGTTGTTAGTCAGCCCCTCTTTGTAGTCTGTGCCCACTGTCCTGAGTGGCACAGCTTGCAAGTACAAGCCAGTGCTGGTCCTTGGATGCTGTGTGGCTCAAGGTCTTAGAGCTGTCTGCTTGACAACGTCTGCATTGTTAAAGTATGGCTTTGAAGCCGGTCCCCTTCTTAGTCATGTCTTAGGTGGCACTTGTCCATGTTCCCAGCACTGTCCATGTGGGTGAGCAGTCTTGGAGGGAACTCCCTGTTCCTTCAAAGAACTCTTGTTCCCAGACTTGTGTGCGAGTCTCATTCTGACTCCCTCCTGGAAAGCCACAGGAGGGGAGGTATGAAGTCAGAGGGTGTAGAAGACACCTCTCGTTCTAACTGAAGCACTGTGTCAGTCAGTAATCTCACTGTTCTGTGGTAGTTGCTGGACTGTGTTGGGTGCTCTGTGGTGGTCTAAAGCTAAGCTGTCGGGGAGCTTGGGCAGAAAGCCTGAGCTGGGGTCTAGATCAGAAGCTGTGAGGCACAACCAGTTCACTGCTCTTGTTCCATTTATTTACATTCAGTTCCATCAAGACCAACCTCTCCTGAAAAATTTACAGTGCCTCACGTCTGTGCCAGGTTTGGTCCTGGGGGCCAGCTCATTAAAGTGATCCCCAACTTGCCTTCAGAAGGACAGCCTGCACTAGTGGAAGTCCACAGCTTGGAGGTAAGTCGGGGACCTGCCAACCCCATGCACCCCATGCTTCCCAGTTTTCTGTTGGAAAAGGTGTGTCCTGGGATGGTCCAGCCGCAGGGCTTCCTGTGTTTGTGTTTGCCGGAAGGCATTCTCCTAGAAGCCAGCACTTTAAGCAGCTGCTGCAGGTGTTAGATTTGGTTTTATTATGTGACTTTTTCTGCCTTCATTCACATTTTTTTGACCTAGGGAGGGTATTCATTTTGCCAGTGAATTTTTCAGTAATGGACAGAGATTGAGCAAGCCTGCTCTGAGCAAGTCTGGGGGTGGGGTGGGGGGCACCCTGCTTTGCAGCCCCAGAAGCCTCTCATGTCACATCTGTTGAAACTCAAATAATTTGATTTTTCTGTTTAAAAATTGTAAACTTCGGCCGGGCATGGTGGCGCACACCTTTAATCCCAGCACTCGGGAGGCAGAGGCAGGCAGATCTCTGTGAGTTCAGGCCAGCTTGGTCAACATACTGAGTTCCAGGACAGCTGGGGCTACAGGGAGATCCTGTCTCAAAAAGGCCAAAAAAAAAAAAAAAAAAAATTGTAAACTTCATTTGTGGTCCATGCTCATGTAACAGTGCCAAGCACCTTCACCATCTGGGTGGAGGGATAGAGGTGGCCTCAGGAGTAGCTGTGATAGCCTATGGTTATTCTGACCGCACCCTCAGTCATTCTCCGGCCCCTCTCATTGCAGACCTTACTGCAGCACACATTTGAGCAAGAGGAGATGCGTTCCTTCCCAGGACCTCTGGGCAAGTGAGTTCCTTGCTGGGGTCTCGCTGTCTGCACAGGGGCAGCTGCCAAGTTTGGCCTCATAGTTCTGGCACCTTCATTTACCAGGTGTTCCTTCTTTTCCAGAGACGACACCCACAAAGTGGATGTTATTAATTTTGCACAGAACAAAGCTACAAAATGTTTGCAGAATGAAAGTTTAATGGACAAAGAGTCTGCAAGTCTTCTGTGGAATTTCATTATTCTGTTATGCAGACAGAATGGAGTACGTTCCCTTTTACTTCTGGAATGTTCTCCCGTTTGCCTTTAGGACCACTCCCCTGTTCCTTTCCTGAGCTGTGGACATTATCAAGCCTGCATAGCCAGCTTTCTCAGGAAGCATCATGGCAGCAACCTGTGAGAGTAGGAGGGGGAGATGTAAATTTGGGAGTGAGCTAAAGCCTCTCCATTGTGGGAGGCTGGGTGTCCGTTGTGTCCTGTCCCCCTGAAGAGCCAGGCTTGTTTCTGAAGTGTCCTAGCATGTGGCTGGGCCCCTCCCTGGCAGCATGAGCCTCGTCACCTGGCTGGAAATACTGTCTCTAGTGAAGCAGTGTGTTGCTCTCTGTCTGTCCCTGTTGACCCTGTAGACCGTGGTGGGAACAGACATCGCAGAGCTTTTGTTGCGAGACCACAGAACCGTGTGGCTTCCTGGGAAGTCACCCAATGAGGCAAACCTGATAGACTTTACCAATGAGGCCATGGGACAAGTAGAAGAGGAGGAATCTGGGGAGGCTCAGCTCTCATTTCTCACAGACAGTCAGACGGTAGCCGCCGACGTGCTTGAGAAGGAAACCGAGAGGTTCCGAGAGCTTCTGTTGTATGGCCGGAAAAAGGTTAGTAGTCTTCAGGGACCCTGCAGGTGTTTTGCAGTGTCTGCCTGTCAGCCCAGGTGCTGGGCACTTGGCAGGGAAGGAGACCAACCCTTCTCCAGGGAGCAGCCACAGCTCTTGCCATTCAAGGGTGTCTGGCCCTTTGCCTGTTGTTTCTGAAGGCATCCATTGTGTTTCCTAGCAGCCTGTGTGGAAAGCTCTCCAGCTCAGTTTTCCATCATCTCATGCCACTATGCCCAGTCATGTCTCCTCATAGCAGGTGCTAAGGCCTGGAATTGTGGGGGGGGTGTCTCTAGGATCCCTACACAGTTGTTTACACAACAGTGAACCCCGGTTGTACACAGTGCAGGGAGGGGCCCAGAGTGGCCTTGGCACTCTGTGCACAGGAGGACTGAAAGCATGCTCATTGGGACAGAAGACATCCTGTTCTGGAAAGGCTAAGGGCAAGAGGCTTGTGGGATTTTCTGGTGAGCATCTGTTAGTTCTCTGTCCTTCCATATCATGATCAATTTGGGAAGTTTGTGGTTTCATTCTGGTTTGGTTCTAGGGATTGAGGCAGGGCCTTGTGTATGCTAAGCGGCGAATTCCTTGCAGTAGACGGTCTGGGGCTAGTGCTGCCACTTGTTCCCCAGTGTATGGTTCTCCACATGGAGTGGAGAGTACAAAGAGTGGCACATGCAGAGCTCAGGAATGGACTGTGGGATGAGGGAGGAGGTGGAGACGAGATGGTTGCTCTGTACACTGGGTGCACGCCTGGGTGCGTGCCTGGTGGCCTTTTGTGCATCTGTTCTGACCGCAGCTCCACCCTTCTTTTCTGTGTACGTGACTACAGTGGGTCTGCCTGCTGCAGTGCTAAGTACTCTGATGGTTCACAGAGCCCCCGAATGCATTGCAGGATGCTCTGGAGTCTGCCATGAAAAACGGCTTATGGGGTCACGCTCTGCTACTTGCTAGTAAGATGGATAGCCGGACACACGCCCGAGTCATGACCAGGTGAGCGCTTGTTGCATAGCCCTGTCTGTTGCCTGGCCCTGGCTCTGGGGCACACAGGGTTCCCGGCTCAGCAGCAGAGCTGCCGGCTGTGGCTCAGGCTTCCTTGGCCCTTTTTCAGGTTAGACTGCTGAGGGAGTTTCACATTTTTTATTACCTGGTGGTTTTTAATTTTCCATAACACCTTAGTGAACTCTTCAGTGTTCATTCTGACGGTTGAATAAAGGGTGGACATTGGGCTATGGTTTCTTCTAGCTGAGCCAGAGTTAGAGCTTTCCAATCTCCTCTCCATCCAGGTTTGCTAACAGTCTTCCGATCAATGACCCTCTGCAGACTGTCTACCAGCTCATGTCTGGGCGGATGCCCGCTGCATCCACGGTGAGTGTGCAGGTTTCTGGGACACTGGTGGACAGTACATATTCCACTGGAGATGGTGCTTGCTGAAGACCTCACCGTGGAGTCTGTCTGAGCCCTAGGTTTCCTGCTTCTGCTTCTTCATTGGGCTTGACCAGGAGGGAATGAGAAGTGGCACTTTTTGAAGAGTGATTTATTTGGTGCTCACTGTAGTGTTGTGGAGATGAGAAATGGGGAGATTGGAGGCCACATCTGGCGATGGTTTTGTCCAACCTGAACAACAACATGGATGTTGAATCAAGGACCATGGCTACGATGGGTGATACCCTAGGTGAGTTAGGCATGAGGTGGGCCTTTGGCTAGCGTGTGTTGGACCCCAGAACCTGGTTGTGTGAACTGTGCCAGGATGCATGAGAAATACGACTTTCCTTTCTCTGGTGTCTCTGGCAACTTCCCTGGAGAACTTTGGGGACTGAGCTGTTCCTCTGTCTCCCACCAGCCTCAAAAGGCCTCCTGGACGCTGCACACTTCTGCTACTTGATGGCCCAGGTTGGCTTTGGGGTTTATACAAAGAAAACCACGAAACTTGTCCTGCTAGGTTCAAATCACAGGTAAGGAGCCAGGTCCCCAGTGTTTATTTTCCACAAGGAGCAAAAGATTCCACTCCTTCACTTAGTTTGGAAGTGGCCAGCCTCACGTCTTTACCACACTGAGGAGTGACCTGCTCTGAGGTGATGATGCCAGTAATTGGCCACTTTTCAAAAGAAATAATTCACTTCTTCCACAGTTTGCCATTTTTAAAGTTTGCCACCAATGAAGCTATTCAGAGGACAGAGGCTTATGAGTACGCTCAGTCCCTCGGGGCACACACCTGCTCCCTACCTAACTTCCAGGTGAGCAGGGGCTGTGGGGGGTGGCCAGTGTTTGCCAGTGCTTGTTTCTTTAGGGGTTTTGAATTCTCACACAAGTAGTAATTTTTGAGGGCATCTTGAGTATACGTTTGATCAAAATGCTCAAAAAGGAAACCACATTGAATAGAGGATTTTTGTTCTTAATACTTTAGACATAATACCTACAGTCCTTGATTTCAAGTACCTCATGTGAGGCACTTTTTAATGAGGTTTGTGTGATCTGACGCAGCTTGCGTGTGTGCTTGCATGCCTGCGTGCTGTGCATGTCTGTTAGTAGTAGGGGATGTTTACAGTATAGCTCATCCCATAGGAAAGGCACTGTCTTAAAGTGTCTGGCTGTAGCCTGGCACTTATCATCATAAGCCATTGACCAGATCAAAAGTGTTATGGGGAGAGTGGATTTCTCAGAGTCTTAAGTTTACTTTGACCCTGAGCTATCACAGTGGATACTGCTGTTAGGCACTGGGTGGGGTGTTGGCAGGTCGCAGATCTAAGGCTCTTGGCAGATTGGAAGCCCCAGGATGGTGCGGCTGTACGTGTTTTTCAGGTGTTCAAGTTCATCTACTCATGCCGTCTGGCAGAGATGGGGCTTGCCACGCAGGCCTTCCACTACTGTGAAGTGATAGCCAAGAGCATCCTGAAGGACCCTGCCACCTACTCTCCAGTGCTGATTAGCCAGCTGGCTCAGGTGGGGTCTTCTTGAGTCTTCCTGTCGGCTACCTCTGGGAAGGTGCAGGTTTCCTCTTGCTGGGCTTGGGTTGCTGTGAGTGGGACTCAACAGAGTGGCACCCCGAATCTGCTTTGTGGATGAGTTTAGATGCTTCAGTACCAGCCACTTCCAACGTCTTTTCCTATTGATTTGATCAGCTGCCTGGGGCAGGTGCAGAGAGTACACGGCCACTGTTAGCAGGTCCCAGTATGTCAGAGTGTCTCATGCCCAAGAGCTCCATTCCTAAAACTATGTCCATGTGATACCTATGAAAATGTGTTATTATGGAAATGTTCAGACCTACAGGAAAGCACAGAGAGAATTAAGGAGGCTCACAACCCTGTCCTCCAGCTTCAGTAGTCCTTACATAACAAAACCAAACTAGGTTCAGCTGTACCTGCCCACAGCCCATTAATGCTCCATCAGAGAGCTGCACTTTCCCTTGTTAACTGAGCACTGGGACGAGGGAGCAGAGGATGAGACATTAGGGCAGTGCACAGGAGCCTTTCCCTTGTCGGGCCTATTGACCCATGGTGTGTGCACCCAGACCTGCAGAGAATTCCACCCTTCAGGCTTGCTCTGATCACCAGCTTCACTTTAGAAACCCTTACATGACCTTCATTCAACACCATCTCAGAGTATGGTGCACCTGGAAACAGGTTTACTGATGCCATTTGGCAGTAACAGGGACTTTGTTCTTTGGGTTCTAGATGGCTTCCCAGTTACGCCTCTTTGACCCTCAGCTGAAGGAGAAGCCAGAAGAGGAGTCCTTTGTAGAGCCTGCCTGGTTGTTGCAGCTGCGGCATGTGGAGAGGCAAATCCAGGTGTGCTTTTTTGTGTTGCTTTCTGTTTTTCAAGACAAGGACTCGCTGTGTAGTCCCTGTACCCCTGGAATTCCCCATGTAGACCAGTCTCTGTAGGCTGGTCTTACAGAGATCTGGCTGCTTCTGCCTTCTGAGTACTGGAATGTGCTCCACACCTTGAATGTGCCAGGGTGTGCCTTTTGTCAGTACAGCCATGTCCTAGATCTAGGCCTAGAGGTGTTTGACAGTTTGTGCCCATTGTTTCACACTGAAGGCATTTGATGGTGACTTCAGAAGTGTGTGCAGCATTGCCCAGGAGGGGGCAGGAAGTGTGCCACCCATTGGGTAGAGGATGTGAGTGGGTTCACAGGCACTGCCAGGGCACAGGCTGCAGCTCTCACCCTGTTTCCTTTAGGAGGGTACTGTGCTGTGGAGCCAGGGTGGAACTGACCCCCAGCAGTGTCCTAGCACACCAGGCTCTGAAGTGGAGCAGTTGGACGGCCCAGGACTCAGCCAACAGGCAGGGACTGACAACCCTCTCCTGATGCTAAGCACTGAGCCCTTGATGCACGGTGTGCAGCTACTGTCCACAGGTGGGACCCTTTGTATCCCTGCCCTTGCTTACTGAACAGGGATGTCTGCTTTTGAACAGGGATTATTTTGCTCCCAAGAGAATTGAGACATTGTATGCCTTTGTGGTTTGAGGACCTCTGGCCTTCCTTCAGAACTAACTCTCTTGATGCTTCCTCCTTTAATGAGCCCAGACACCACTGCCCCACCTGCCTTGGCCCCTGACCTGCTGCCTGACTCTTGCTTGCTTCCCTTGGAGCTTCCCTTGTTCCATCAAAATAAACTCTACTGCTACCTTCCTGCCCTGCAGCCGCTTCTTACGTCGTCCTCATTTCAAGAAAGTCCACCTTGTTCCTCCAGCAGTTGGAGCACTGACCTTCACTCATGCCCTGAACCTCTGTCCTAGACAGGCAGGCACCCTTTCTGTCCTTCTGCCCGTGCTCTGGGAGGTCTCCATTAGGGCCTTGTGGGGTCAGTCCTGCTGCCCCCAACCTGGTGCTCCAGCCACTCCTGACTCAGCCTGCTGCTGGGCCCCCCTGCAGCCTGCCCTCCATAATGGCTGACCACCCCTACCTCTTACAGGTTTCCAGTCATGGTCCTCAAATCTTGAGTCTTGGTGCTTGTCTTCTTTCTTCCTGGTTCATTCCCTGCATCAGGGTTCTTGTCTTGTTTTATTTTTGGAGATGGAAATCTCACTAGGTTGTCCAGGCAGGTCTTGAATGTGTGGTCATAGTTCCCAGCTCAGCCCCTGAGCAGCTGGGCTCATGGGCTTATCCCCGTGCTGACTCTCTGCTCTGTTCACTGTGCATCCAATGCCAACTCTATGTTCTGTTCCCTGCCTGTCTAGTGCCTAGCATGGAGCTGGCAGGCAGCAGGACCTTGTTGCCACATTGACCTCTGTGAATGTCTGTGCATAAGTGGCCTGTCCGACTCCTGGCAGTGGGGAGAAGGGTCTACTAAAGTAGTAGCATTGTGCCAGGGGCCACTCATGGGCTGTCTGAATCATGCTATAGGTTAGGGCCCATGCCACTTGTCATACCTCTGATCTGCACCGAAACCCATCCTGCCCCGGGACTCCTAGACCCCATGTCATACCTGCTGCTGGGCACCAATACCCATCCTGCCCCTGGACTCCTAGATCCCACGTCATACCTGCTCGTGGTCACTGATACCCATCCTGCCTCTTGGCTGCTAGAACATGAGTTTCTGCTTTTTCTGAGTCAGCTGTGGGTGGTGGTTTCAACTACCTCGTTATAAAAGAAGTATGGCTGTGCAGAGCAACTTATAGGAGGTGTGCTTGTGATGTGCCGTTCTGCCTGTGAGTGGTCAGCCTCAGTGACCTTAGACTTCTTCTCCACTGTGCCCTGCAGCTCCACAGACACTCCCTGATGGCCAGCCAGCCCACCCTGCCAGGGTGCCGGTGTTTCCAGGGCCAATGTCCCAGCGCCCCCTGGAGCTGGGTCCTGACTATGGACCCTCAGGGTCAGCACTTGGCTTTCCAGAGTCCTCCAGGCCTGATCCTGCAGTTCTACACCTGGGGCTGGCCCTACCACCTGCTGCACCATGTATCCAGGAAAATGGGCCTCCACTCCAGGAAGCTAGGAGTTCAGACCCAGGTGTGTCCGCGGAAGTACAGATGCTGTACAGATGGTGTTCAAGGAAAAGTGGAAGAAATTGTGCGGACCAAAAGGTCAAGAATTTGCAAATTGAATGGGTTAAAAGTCAGAGCAATAAAAATAGTAACGCTGGGTTCTGCTGTGGCTTGGCCGTGTGTTCCACATGAAGCCTAACTGGTCATTCAGGGCCTAGCAGAATGGGTCTGGGCTTTTCAGGGTCTGTCTTGCCGCCGTCCTGAGTCCCTGTGGGCTACACAAGCAGAGGTGGCAGATGTGTCTTTGGAAGTCAGATTTGGTGGCTCCTCTGTCTGGCTGTGCCTGTCTCGTTGTCTATTTGAATAGGCCTGGCTCAGACAAGCAAAGCATCCGCCACATATTCAGGAAAACCATTCTGATTTGGAAAGTACCGCCTGTTGCTAAGCCTGGCAGCTAGCCAGCTTGTTCCTCCACCTGTCCTGCCAGCACCCTGCTCCCTCCTTGTCCCACTGCTGAGGCCCTGGACCCAGTCGTTATTCCTTGCTTTGGCAGGTGTGGAGCCTCGGGATTCACCTGTCAGACACTCAGCTCCAGAGCTCAGTGAAGAGGATTTTCATGGAAACTTGGCTCATCTGGTACTTCCCATACTTTTTTAAACTTTTCTGTAAAGTTTGTTGAGTTGGGTACCTTGACTCCTTGTTCTTTGCATGAAAATAGGAAGGTAACCAAGGTAATAAGATGACTTTAAATGTGATATTTTTTTTCTCCAGACAGGGTCTCCCTGTAGCCACAGTTGGCCTGGATTCACTATGGAGACCAGGCTGGCCTTGAACTCGCAGAGATCCGCCTGCCTCTGCCTCCCAAGTGGGGTCTAAAGACATGCGCCACCACGCCTGGCCTAAATGTGATTCTTAAAAAGGAAGTGTTCCTAAAATCATTTTGACCAGGGCTGTCAAGATGACTCAGTGGATAAGGGCACTTGCTGCCAAGCCTGATGACCTGAGTTTGATTCCCCTGACCCACATAGTCAAAGGACGGACTAACTCCTTCAAGTGGTTGTCCTCTAACTTCCACACACTTGACATGGCACATGTGTGCCCATAATACATACACAAAATAATTAATTTTAAAAATCATTTTAGGGAGCTGGAAAGATGGCTCAGCAATTAAGAGCACTAGCTACTCTTAGAGAGGACCCAGGTTCAATTCCCAGCACTCACATGGTGGCTAACAACTGTCTGTAACTCCAGTTCCAGGGGATCTGACTCCCTTTTCTAACTTCCAAGGGCATTGCAGGACTTGGGTGCACTTACACACATGCAGGCAGTACACTCATAACATAAAATAAAAATAATAAGTATTTTTTGAGCCGGGCGTGGTGGCGCACGCCTTTAATCCCAGCACTCGGGAGGCAGAGGCAGGAGGATCTCTGTGAGTTCAAGGCCAGCCTGGTCTACATAGTGAGTTCCAGGACAGCTGGGGCTACAGGGAGACCCTGTCCCCGCAAAAAAAGACCTAAATAAATAAATAACAAATATTTTAAAAATCACTTTAACCCTTCAGATGTGAAAGTCGGTAAGAATGTCGGTAGAGAAAGATGCAAAAGTGAAAGCTGAGCTGTGTGAGTTTTTTCAGCAGAAGACTCGTTCTGTAGTACAATCCCAGATTTAATTTTCAAGGGTGGGAAACCTTGCTGATTTCGCACCTCTTTACAATAGACCTGACACCTCCACTGCTTTCCCTGAAATTGCTGTTCATTATAGCAGACATACAGATGTGCCTCTGTGTGCTTCCAGTCAGGAGGGACAGATGCCATATTCTGGAAGCTTCTTTGTAGATATCTTGGTATCCGATCAGTAGGTACTTCCTGAAGGTGGGACTTTGTCATTTCCAACGTCTTGCTTCTGAAAAGTAATAGCAGAAATGTCTCTGGGAGTCACCACTTCACCCAGGAGTGGACGGTTTATTTGTGTGTGTGTGTGTGCACACACATCCATGCACATACATGGGTACCTACAGAGGCTAGAAGAGTTCATTGGGTCCTCGGAGCTGGAGTTATAGGTGGTTTGAGCTTCCAGATTCAGCTGCTAGGAACTGAACTCCAGTCCTCTGCAGGAGCAGGAAGTTCCCTAACAAGCCGTCTCTCCAGCCCTTTTATTTGTAATATTGCTATTACTGTGTGAGTACGTGTGCCGAGATGCTCCTGTGGAGATCAGAGGACTAGTTTGTGGAGATGGTACTCTCATTCACATTTACATGGTTCTTAAGGATTAGACTTAGGTCATCAGGCTTGAGTGGCAAGTGTTTTACCACTGAGTCATCTCCCCAACCCATGAAGAGGACGGTTTTTAAAGTTGTTACTTGTAAAAAGCATGCTGCCCAGCACTAGCTGGTCTTGGCTTCAGTGCGTGCACATGTGCATTTTTTGGAGCACTAGGACACTCCTGTGAGGTGCTTGTGGCTGGCATTTCCCTAAGAGCCCGGGAAGGCTCCCAAGCGCACAGCTAGGGTGTTTTGCATCCCCTCCTTCCTGTTCCTGCCAGTTCTCTCCCGACCGAAGGAGACACTGAATGGAGCACATCTCTCTCACCCTCCTCTGGTTCCTCCCGGGAGCCCCAGGAGAGTCAGCTTTCGTGTTGCCTTATGGCAGGGCTCCTCCAGGGCAGCACAGGAGTTGGAGACCCCCCCGGCGTGGGATCATGGCAGTTCCAGTTTGACAGAGACTGCTCCTGAAGTGAAGAGACCTGCACAGACTGTCAAAAAGGAGGCCAAGGAACCCAAGAAGGTACAGCCCAACCCAGCCGCTTGTCTAGTGGGCAGAGAGGCAGGCGGTACTGGAGGGAAGCCCAACACCCTGGGGCAGTTGGAGGCACAGAAAGGCATCTGCTTTTGTTGTAGACCAAGTGTTGTAAATTCCTTTCTCAAAGTGTAGCATACACACGATGAAGTGTATAGAGTGCACAGCAGCTGGATAAGTGTTTGTGTGTGTGCGCACACACATATGTACATGCATGTGTGTGCATGTGGGGGCGTGCAGGCCCTGTGTGTGTGTGCATGTGGGGGGGCACACAGGCCCTGAAAGTTTCCCTCATGGCCGCTCTATGACAGACAAGCCCTAGAGCAACCAGAGGAGAAGGGCAGCACGTATTTCCATCATCACCTGGTAATCTACTGTCCATGCTAGGGCTGTATTTGTCCGTGCTTCCGAGTTAATGTTGGGACAGTGCTCAGATGGGGCTGTTTAAGGCAGTCACATGAGCGTTCTCTGCATCCCTCGGTGGCACATGCACTCATTGGTCTTGAGAGTCTACTCTAGGAAAGAGTGTAGGTTCCAGGGTACATGTGTGCTCAGCCTTGGGGACACTGCTAGGCAGTGTACTGTGTGACCACAGAGCCCTGCTTGGTGCTGGATCAGTGCCACAGCTGTGCGGTGGCATCCTGGTTGTCTGTGCTTCCCCAGGCAGCCTGGGTCTTGCCAGCTTCAGAATAGCTGTCCCGCTGTGTTGGTGACGGTTCACTGCGGTTCACTTATGTTCCCGGATGACCAGCAGTGCTGCTCCTTGGCCTGGGCTTGAACCTGTGTGCTCCTTCATCTCATGCTTGTTCTAGCCCTAAAGATTTTTTTTTAATTTTGCATGTGTGCGCTAGAAGTTGTGAGGTTCCCTGGAGCCGCAGTTACAGGCAATTGTGAGCTGCCCGGCGGTAGTGCTAGAAACTGAACTCGGATCTTCTGCAAGGGCATTCTCTGCTGTCAGCTGCTGAGCCCTCGCTCCAGCCCCCACAGTTGTGCATTTTAAGAGGGTTCAGCATCTCGGATTTCTCTCATGTGGCAAATTTTTAAAAATAAACCTAAGTTTAATGTAAAATGAGCATGAATTGTGAGCTAGACCGTGCTTCAGTTGTTTGGAGTTTTTTGTTTTGCGGTGCTGGTGATGAACCCAGGGCTCATGTGTACTGGGCAGGCACTGTGCTACTGAGCCACTGCCCTTCAGACAGTCTTTACCTGAGCAGGTAGCTGCAGGCCTCCCAGGGCAACTCATCTCCTATGGGTTTCTAGAGGGGACCTGGATGTCTGTAGCTGCTGGCTCCTTTTCTAACAGAACAGTCCAGTGTAGTAAAGCTTGATGTGCACTCCTGCCACCCAGATCTCTGCACAGGAAGGGAGCTTTGTGTTGAGGTCATCCTGACTCTGCCCAACTTCCACTCCTGGGGTGAAGAGGGAACCCCAGGCTTAGTGTGTCAGAGCTCAGATGTGGAGAGTTTCCAGAGGTGGCATGTAATCTTCCTGGATTTTGCTTATAAAAGATATATGTAGGGCTGAGTTTGAGGCTCAGTGGTACAGTGATTCCTGGCCTTTGAGGGGCCCTAAGTTTCTCCCCAGCACCGTGAATCTGTGTAGATCATTTCACAGGAGGACCCTTTTGAGACGCACACTTGGTGCAGTAAGCACATCACTCATCGCAGAGGTACTAACCCCATTAACACTGTCCTCAGCCCTTGCCCTCCCTCAATCTGCATCGCATCTCTGGGGATATGGCTCCACTGTGGATAGTGTGAGTGGCGTCACACAGAGTGTCTTTTTGTGCTGGCCCCTCACTGGGAAGTGCACTTGGGCTCTTCTATTTTCAGACTGAGTCCTGGTTCTCTCGTTGGCTGCCTGGAAAGAAAAGGACAGAAGCTCATCTGCCAGATGACAGGCACAAATCAGTGAGTGTTGTCAGACAGGACCCGGGAGTCCCGAGGGGAGACAATTGCCTATCACTGGTTGATGGCACAACACGTTTGATTCAGAACAGACCTGAATGTATAGACATTTTCTGAAGTTATAAAATGTCTTATTAATCAGATTATAATTCTATTTAGTTTTTTAAATGGAATTTTGATGATTTTCATATACTGTAATTTGATGTTATTTTAATCCTGTTTAGTTTTAGTCTACAGATTTTTTTTTTTTCTTTTTTTAAAATCTTGGCAGATTGTTTGGGATGAAAAGAAAAATCAATGGGTGAACTTGAATGAGCCTGAGGAGGAGGTAAGTGATGCCTTTAGTTAAGTCCCTGTGAGGGGGAGGGGTGCCTGTTTTGCTCCCTGCCACCTGGGCATCATGCCTCCCTTTGGAGAGTCCTCACCAGTCTCCAGCGTGTTGAGGGCATTGCTGAGCTATCTCTTCCTCTGCAGAAGAAGGCTCCACCCCCACCTCCAACGTCGTTCCCCAGGGTTCCCCAGGTGGCTCCCACTGGGCCTGCAGGACCACCCACAGCCTCCGTGAACATGTTTTCTAGAAAAGCAGGTAATATAGCTACAGCAGAAATCAGAGGTGTTGGGGTAGAACAGTGTCCTACAAAACCTACAGTATGCAGAGTTCACTCAGCTATCACAGTGGCACACTGTCAATACTGGAGAGAACAAGTTTCCACCCTTAAGGGAGGAGCCGGGACACAATATGTCTTGTCATCTGAATTGATGGCCTGGAGATGCAAAGTGTCCCATTAGTCAAAATTGTAGCCTGTGTGACAGGGGGAATGGAGGCCAGGCCCAACAACCAGTTCTGTCCCCAGGCCCTTCTTCCACGGGCCCTGCTTGCACTTCTCACTCAGTGGGAACTGAGTATGTTGGATTCTGGAAGTGGCTTGGTATGCACTTGAATTTGACTCCCCTTCTCCTGGGTAGGTGGGTCCCGAGCTCGCTATGTGGACGTTCTAAACCCAAGTGGGACGCAGAGGAGTGAGCCAGCTCTTGCTCCTGCAGATTTTTTTGCTCCACTCGCCCCGCTCCCGATCCCTCCTAACTTGTTCATACCACACCCAGGTAGGTAACCCATGTGCTAACAGGTCCATGTCTGTCCTTGCTTCTGACCTGATCAGCCTGTGTCTATAAGCCTCTCGCCCCAATCATCACTAGAGTGACTAGGCCACGGTGCATAGGACCAGAGGCTTGCATGCACTTCCTTGCCAGCTGGCCTCTCCTGAGGGTCCAGGATGGAACCCTTCTCTGTAAATTGTTGTAAAGGCTCCCCCAGAAATCAGTGTGGGATGATGGCTTCGTGTCCCCTCATTCACAGATGCAGAGGAGACACAGCCTACAGATGGGGCTGGCAGCAGGGGACAGGTGCCAGCTGGGGCTCAGTCTAAGCCAGAGCCCCCCTTGGAATCCCAGGTAGGCACAGTTCAGTGGGAAGGAGGTGAGGGGCTCCCTGAATCCCATAGGATTCCCTTCTCTGCTAATCAGTGTCTGATCCATCAGGTGATGCACTGGTCTCACTGTTCACTTTTGACAAGTAGAGATAGAAAGTAAAGGGTGGGTGCCAGGGCATGAGGAGGATTCTCAAGGTTTAGTCTGGAACATGGAAATCTGGAGGTAGGTGGTGGCTCTGGAGCAGTGGAATGCTCCAGTGCTTCCAACTGGGACTTAGTGTGCATAGTGAATTCTACATTGGACATATTTTACCACAACCTTAAAAATAAGGAAAAAAATTAAGTTAGAAAACTGAAGAAATTAGCAGTAGTAAAAGTTGAAAAATAAAAAAGTGGAAGCTGGAGAGGTGTCTCAGTGGTTAAGAGCACTGGCTGCTCTTGCAGAGGACCTGGGTTTGGTTCCCAGCACAACCATCTGTAACTCCAGTTCCAGAGGATCCAGTACCACCTTCTGACTTTTGTGGGCACTGCACAACATGGGCGTACTTACACACATGCAATATACTCACACATAAAATAATAAAGTATTTTTAAAGCCGGGCGTGGTGGTGCACACCTTTACTCCCAGCACTCGGGAAGCAGAGGCAGGCGGAGCTCTGTGAGTTTGAGGCCAGCCTGGTCTACATAGTGAGTTCCAGGCCAGCTGGGGCTGCAGAGAGACCCTGTCTCAAAAAGACCAAAAAGAAAAAGTATTTTTTAAAAAAGAAAAAAATGTGTACCTTCACCTGAAAAGAGCTGATGACCTTTTTTAATAGAAATCCCAGCCTGGCCCCGACCTGTGACTACTTTACTTGGCTCTGTAAAGTAGAGGAGCAGTAATTTCAGATCCGAAGGCTGTTGTGGGACTCAAATAGCCTTGTGGGCTGTGCCAGGCATGTATTAGCTGTTGCACCAGGAGACACCGTCTGCATGACGCCTTATGTAGCAGAGCAGCCTGGAAACTATGCTATAGGCTCAGGGAATGTTCTGCCTGGTATGAACCTTTAAACTCCCCCCGGGGGCGGGGGCACTACCGCACTTCCTCTTTATCTTCAGCAGGTGCTAAACTCTGCAGTGTTACCCCCTGGTCCCGAACTCTCATCATCTAAACTGGATGGCTCCCAGGGAGGAGAGGTAGGGAATGCTGTCCTCTGTGTGAGTGTAGTGCATGTGTATGTGTATGCATGTGCATGTGTGTGGGCGTCAGTGTGCGTGGTAGGGTGTGTGGCCTGGAATTGAGACTCAGCCACCTCAGTTTAGCTCAGTGACTTCGTTAAAAATGTGTGTGTATGCCGGGCATGGTGGCGCACGCCTTTAATCCCAGCACTTGGGAGGCAGAGGCAGGTGGATCTCTGTGAGTCCAAGGCCAGCCTGGTCTACATAGTGAATTCCAGGATAGCTGGGGCTACAGGGAGACCCTGTCTCAAAAGACCAAAAAAAAAAAAGGTGTGTGTGTGTGTTTGTGTGCACGCACGCGCGCACATGCCAGATGTGGTGGTACACACCTTTAGTCCCAGCACTCAGGAGGCAGTGGCAAAGATCAAGGCCAACCTGGTCTACATAGTGAGTCCCAGACCAGCTGGGGCTACAGGGAGACCCTGTCTCAAAAAGACTTAAAAAAGTGTGTGTGAGTAGGAGAAGGAAGCACAGGATGGAAAACACTTAAAAGGTTTTGTGTCCAGAAAGCATTAGCTTGTTTGATCTCCATTGCATAGGTGTAGGGTATAGAGGCGATGACACTCTCTCAGTCCAGACCTCCCCTCAGTGTAGCCCTGAGTCAATTCAGAGTTGTCACAGGATGAAGCTGTTGTAGGCCGAGGGCTGGACAGCGCCCCTTCCCCAGAGTAGTGGCTCTTTCCTTAACCAAACTGGGAGCTTTAAGCTAATTCTGGCTGTCCTCGTTTGAGTGACATTGATTCTAATTGAACGGCCTCATAAAGCTTGTGAAGCTCAGCTGGCGGCTTGGAGCAGTGGTGTGCATGCTGATTTTCACATCTGTATTTTGTGTGTGTTCTTGCTGTTCCGTAGCTCTCGCGCTGTAGCTCAATGAGCTCGCTCTCACAGGAAGTGAGCCGGCATTTCCATCAGGTACCTGTGGCTGGCGGCTCTCTCCTTCCACGGGGCTGGCTGTGTAGCCCATGTCGACCCCTTAGAGAGTCTGCTGTCCTCATTTTGTCACTAACTGCACCCCTTGTCTTACCCAAGCATCGCGTGGGCAAAGATGCAGTGTTCGTTTTCCTAAAGGGCCCTTGGGTTTATGATTGCCCATCAGATGCGCTGGTGGTGGACTCGCCTCCCAGGGTTCAGAGTGCTCAGGTGAGCTCTCTAACTCTGCTCCTTGTGCAGCGGGCCTGGCCCTGGCCGCACTGTCAGCATCTTCTGGGTCAACACACCAGTTGGGAAGAAAGATTTCTTCTTGCTGATGAGGCTTGAGGAAGTCTGTCTGCAGTCAGCAGGAGTGTGGTCATGATGGCCCTCCAGGGACCAGCCTGGGGGAGATGAACGCTCCATCTTCTGGTGGTGGCGTGGCTTCATCACTCGCACTCAGCGGAAGGGCTCAGGGACATTTCTGGCTGTGTTTGGCTAAAGGCTCTAGAGCATGCTCTCCGGGTCTAACTGCTTGGCCAGCACTGATGGCATCTCCGTGCCCTGTGCTCATTGTCTGCATGTCATTATTCAGAGTGCCTCATTCTGCATGGGCTTTGAGTTTCCATTCTGTGACCCATCCAGTAATGAAACCCAGTGTTGCCAGAGCTGTCTCCACCTGTGGCCTCTGTGGAGCATTAGCAGTCCTTTCTGAGGTGCGGCTTGTGTCTGCTGCTGGGACAGCAACTGCTGTGCAGCCCTGACATGCTGAGGTGCTTTTCTGTGCTTCACAGGCTCCTGGAGACCACTGCCCCACAGGGGGCCCTCCCGGCGGGGCTGTGCCCTTCTACAACCCTGCTCAGCTGGCACAGGTGAGTGGACCTTGCTTTTGTTCCCTCCAGCCTGACTTGCCTGCCCGTCTCCAACTCCACTGACCAGTGAGTCTCTTCTCTGGCTTCTTTTCCTGTTTGATTCAGAGTGGCACACCCACAGGACGGGGCTGTGGCCTGTAGCCTTTCTCAAGCCCCCATGCCCCTCTCAACCCTCCCCCCATAGGTTCTCAGTTGACTCAGTCTACAGCCTTGGTCTGCCCATGCTCCTTGGTCACTGCTTGGGGCTCTTCAGGTTCAGGCCTTTTATTTCTGCTCCTCTCCATGAGCGTGAAGGTTCTGGATCCCAGGGAGCCCACGTGCTCCTTTCTGGGTACAAGTATGAGATATGTGAGTGTCCCAGGGTGGATTCTGGGGCTGAATCCTTGACTTCTAGCCACAGGCCCTCACCACCTTTTTCCCCCTCCTTCTCTCCCCTTCCCCCTCCTCCCCTCCCTTCTCCTTCCCCTCTCCTTCTCTGCTTCTCCTTGGGAGCAGCTGTTCCCAACAGAGGCCCCTGATTTGGAATCTTTCAATGCCTGTCCTGGCTAATCCCTTCACAGCTGTGCAGTACTTCATCTCCACCGTTGAGTTGTGGAGAACCTTTATGTCTGCCCCAGTGTTGGGTTGAGGGCTGGCCAGGTGGAGCCTTCTGATGGGTCTGCCTTTTCTGGTGCCCATGTGAGATTCCAGGCCCCTGTCCTCTGGCTCAGGCCTGGAATGGCATCCATCCTCAGGGGTCTGTGCTGTTGTGCTGTCATCCATCTGTCTGCACAGTCCCCCTTCCTCAGTCATGGTTGTCTACTTCTACCGGAGAACCATTCTAGAATGTGCTTTCTTTCACCCTACCCCTGTCTTTTGGGGGAGTATCATCTGGCTACTGTTTGGGGAGAGTCATGGGGGGAAGAGCTCTAGTTTTCATCTAACTCATGGCTTCTGGCCCAATACATAGCCAAGGATCACCTTGAACTTTTTTTGTTTTGTTTTGAAACAAGGTCTCCTTGTAGCTACATCCAGCTGGCCTGGAACTCACCATGTAGACCAGGCTAGCCTCAATCTCACAGAGATCCACCTGCTCGTGCCTCCAGAATATGGGGACTAAAGGTGTGAACTTTTGATCCTCCTGTATCCACTTCCCAAGTGCCGGGATTACAGGCATGATCACCACTCCTAGTTTATGCCATGCTGGGTTCCAAAGACAGGGTCTCATACTTGCTAGGCAAACACTCCACCAACTGAGCTGCAGCCACAGCCTTGGGCAGGCAGCTTGTTTTTAGAAGGGCAAGCAAAGTTTATTGTGAAGAAACAGCTCCTGCAGCCTGGAGAGAACTCAAAAATGAGCTGTTTGACCCGAGAGAGGTCTTGAGGGAGAGGTGCTGGTGTTGTCTCGTGGGCCCTGGCTTCCCTGTGCTTTGCAGCAACTGCAGACCACCGGCCACTGTCCACCCCTGGACTCACGCAGCACTCAGTCGGGCCAGCTCTGGGGAGCTAACCTCAGTTCTCATGGTCCTGATAGAACCAGAGCAGAGCAAAGCAGAACGTGTCTGTGGTGCTGTGGGCTAGGAAAGGCTGAGCAAGAGACTTGGCCCTACAGGAAGGTCTCATGCTTTTAACCAGTCCAGAGCTGACCTGTTGCTCAGCGGTTCGTGGCCTTATCCTGCAGACCTCACCCTGCAGCACAGCCCCTAGGTACATGTAGATGCTGTTCCTTTTGTTCCAGGCTTCTGCCACCTCGGGGAACTCAAGGACGGGGAGGATTGGCCAAAGAAAATACCCAGTATTGAACTAGAGTCTTTTGTTGTGGATTCGTGCTTGGAACCCTGAGATGACTAGATGACTGTTCTCCACCAAGAAACAAACTGGCTGCCCAGGGTCTCAGAACCCAAACAGACATGGCAGTAACTCAGAGCCGGTCATACTGTGTGCCCCCCCCCCCTTTGCCACCCATGTGTATGAATTACTGAAAAATTGATTCCATGGTTCTTTCAGATGCTGGATAGACTGAATTGAATTCAGTCTTAAAAGAACAATGTTTCTTTCTTAGTCACTTAAGACAAATTAAGGATATAATAAATACTTTCAGTCACTTGAGAACACCCTGAAGACAATTTAGGCTTCACAGACCAATCCCAGGGTTCCTTAGGATGTTGAGAGAAAAAAGTGAGTGCTTGACCCAGAGGAGCCCCAGCTCCACTGCCTGAGCAAGCCCTGCCCTGTTCTGTGAGCCAGCAGGAGTGCACTAGCTGGGTTCTGAGTTCTCCTCCAGCTCCTCCAAAGGGCCGTCAGATGACAGTGGTCACAGGCTGGGAGGGAGGCCCTGGTTACCAGGGGTATGCCTCTCCAAGACATTTCCAGCCTTGCTTCCTTTCCCATGGCCTGATTGGGACAGGCATTTTCAAGTGCTCAGAGAGCAGAGCCAGCATCACGGCCCAGTCACTGGGAGGAGCCCCAGGAACCTACTGGTTGCCAAGCAGCTGTCATAGCTGCATGCTGCAGAGCATCACCCTCCTGCCAGGCACGTGTGGGATGTCACCTACAGACATCTTTTAAGGACTTGCCGGCATCTCAAAGGGAGTGGCTTCAGGAGGTGTGTTAGCAGACACTCTCTGTACTTGGCATCTCCACCCTCAAATGCCCACTGGGACCTTCAACAGCTACTGACTCAGCCTCTGCCTCGGAAGCGTCACTCCAGACTCCGTGCTTTAAGGCCTCGCAGCCCCTTCCTAGAACCGTCCTGTTGATTTAAGGAGGAGGGGAAGGAGATATTTAAATATTTATAAAAATCTACAGGTGATTTGAGTCATTTCTGTCGGGGGGAACATAAATGAATCTTTGATTTAATTTAGTTGTAGAATGTGGAATTAGGACAGCCCTTCCTGGTTTCCCTCATCATCCAGGCAAGACCCACAGAACGTTTCCAGAATGCTCATGTATGAGTGTGCCCGGGCTCTCCTCTTCCTGTCTGTCCCTCAGAAAGCCCTGTCTGTCTGGGTCAGTAGCAACTTGTGTCCCTCCGTGGGACTCGGGCAGGACTCCCTGCAGTGCAGTCCTGCCCAGGCCCTCTGTTGACTGCCGGCCACTTTTGATTCAAGAAGCGTCCTCCGGTGGGAGCTGCTATTTTTCCTAAATTCAAATTGTTAAATAAAATATTTTGGGCTCTCAAGTACCTTCGTTTCTGGCTTCCTTTGTGTTGTGGAGGGGCTGGCCAGGGAGGGCTGCTGGTGTGGGCCGGTGTGGGCCGGCCACTGTCGGGAGGGGCGGGGCCTCTGCGGGGCGCGGCTTGGGCGCCGAGTGGTCCTCCGGCCGCCAGGGGCCGCCGTGGGCGTCCGCATGCTCGCGGGCCGGGCGGTTCGCAGAGCAACCACCGAGCGGGGCCGGGGTGACCACTGGGTCCGGCCGGGGCGAGCCCTGGGCGGGGGCGCGGTAACCCCGGCGCGGGGCGGTGGTCGTTGCTTCAGCCGCAGAGACTGTGCGGGCCCGGCTCCCCGTGCCCGGCCCGGCTGCAGCGGACTTCGGGCGTCGGGCGGTCTTGCCGGCCGAAACGAGGGCGCAGGTGAGCCCGGCCTGCATCCGCTGGCCGGGGCGGAGGGCTGGGGTCGCCCGCAGCGCCTCGCCGGGTGCAGCGGAGGGGACAGGAGCGCTAGCCCGGGACGAAAGGCAGCCCGCCCGCCGGGCCTGGCCGCGCTGTGCTGCAGGCCGCTATGCTGCAGGATGCTGTAGGACCCGCACCTGGCCTGGGGATCCCTGCTTGGCTCAGGCGTCTGTGAGGACAGGACTCCAGCCATGCAGCCGCCGGCCGTGCTCCTGAAGGACCACCTCGGGCCACCGAGAGCCACCCGAGTTTCCTCTGCACCCAGCCAGTGACCTCTGACGTGCATCCCTGACAACACGTGTTGCTAGCCGCCCGGAGAGGAGGCCAGGCTACCGTGGGTGAGGGCTGGCCAGGCCCCGATTATGCCCTCCGAGTCAGCTTGCCTGCGTCACACGGAGGCGCCTGGGCAGCTGGAGGGCAGAATGCTCCAGGGACAGCTTCCCAGCACTGACAAGAACCTCACCCCAAGGCCAGACTCCCTACCTGCCACTGGCTCTGAGCGCCCAGAGACAAAACCCATGCCTCTTTTCAGCATTCCAGCTAAAATCAGCAACCAGGACCCGCAAGCTAAGGCAAACTCCAGCACCCCACAGCCCCCTATGAGGCCCAAGTTGGAGCGAACCCTGTCTCTGGATGATAAAGGCTGGGGAAGGAGGCGTGTCCAAGGCAGTCAGGAGGACCTGGCAGAGCAAAATGGGGCTGGTCCCTGCAGGGGCTCCGTGCAGAACTCTGTCTCCAGGTCACCCCGCCACAGTCGTCCCCTGCCCTGCCTCAGCACATCCTTGCAAGAAATCCCCAAGCCCCGAAGGGCCACGAGCAGTGAGGGTGGAAGCCCATCCTTGTGGAGTGACTGTCTCTCTGGAATGATCAGCACCTCCCTGGACCTCCTGCACAGAGAGGCTGCCCCAGGTGGGGGCTCCCCCAGGCTGGCCAGCCTGCATCCCTCACACCCACCACCTTCCATGGACCTCACCATAGCCTCCAGCTCCCTGAGGACAGCAAACAAGGTGGACCCTGAATATGCTGACTACAAGCTCCGCATGCAGACCAGGCTGGTCAGGGCCCACAGCAGCCTGGGGCCCGGCCTGCCCCGGAGCCCCCTGGCTGGTGATGACCTTTCCATTCACTCAGCCAAATCTTCCTTCAGCCTGCTGGCACCCATCCGCACCAAGGACATCAGAAGCAGGTAGAGCCTCCTGGAGGGAGGAGTGGGTTGTTCCAGGCCTGTCAACTCGAGGCCTCTGTTTGTGGGTCAAGAACGAGCTGTGAGCTGAGCATGGTGCCTCCTGCTGGTAACTTTAGCGCTTGCTACGCTGAGGCAGGATGATCACAAGTGGCCAGTCTGGGCTACTTAGCACCCACTGAAAAGAAAGAAAAGAAAAGGCAAGCTGCAGAGCGACCGTGTGCATGGATTCTCGTAGAGAGTGTCTAGGATTCGGGAATCAAGGAAGGCAGGGCAGATCTCCAAGCCCCCTCCCCCCATGCTGCTTTCCTGCCCCTCTGTATCTTTCCTTTGCAGCCTGGGCCATCCACGGGCACTGCAAACTTGTAAAACGTAGATGGTTCTGCACACCTGCCGTGCCGTCCTGGCTCCTGTTTTTATCTCCATGCATCATGCTGGGCAGCTTTCTTAGCCGAGGTCTGAACTGGCCCTTTTTTGTTTTCTCGGTATAGAGGGCCTTGGGTCTCTTTAGCCGTGTTATTGTTTAGCCACTGCCCATGAGGAGCGTTCAAGGCCTCTAACGTTGTTCGAAGGAGGGCTGGGTATCAGCATGCTCTGGGCTGCAAGTCACCATTTTAACAGGACACTTAGACACATGTAAACCCATTGGACCAAGTGACAGACATCCCAGGGACCACTTGCAGGGCAGTGACATGACTCTGCCCTTAGGAGAGTCTCCACACCATCTAGAACCACAGGGGCTAGGTGTCCTGTGCTGAGACTTGCTGATGGTCATGGAGGCCCCCTCACCTGCTGCATACCCTGTGGGCAGGGTGGTACCTCAAGGATGTACAGGCCTTTGTCTCCTGTGCTTGACCTCTCTGACCCCAGTAATGAATCTATATGGATTTGTCAAACTGGAAAGAGCCTGGGTGCTGTGCCTAGGTCAGCCCTCTCTGCCTGTGACTCCCCAGTACCACCTCTGGCTACCCTCTCCTGAGCCCAGAGGCCACAATCCACCAGGGGGACCAGACCAGAGCACATCTGACTGTTCACATCTGAGCCTTCTCTCCCAAGCTAGTCCCCTCCTGGGGTCTTGATCTTGGCCTGTGAGGTTCATCCTGCCCTTAAGCCCTCCCAAGGCCACATGGCTAGACATAGGGTAGGCGGGGAAGAATGTATAGATGGCACCTGTATTGTTTCCTGGAGCTGCCAGAGCATGTGACCATGGGCTAAGCAACAGAGGCAGAAGTCTGAAAGGGAGGGACAGCATGACTGCCCCCCTGTAGAGGGCTATGGGGACTTCCCTGTCCTCTCAGCGCACTGTGACCTCCGGTGTGCCTGTGACTCCATGTGGCCACTTCTCCCAAGCTCCCCTGTCAGTGACATGGGGCCTCCTCTGGAGATGCTCTGAAAAGGCTTTTTCCAAAGAACCACATTCTGAGGGGCCAGGAGTCCATTCGGGTCCCTGTAGTTCCTGAAGGTCAGCTCACTCCCAGCCCCCGTGGTCAACCCTACAGGTGGGTGCTTTGTGCCACATCTCTTCACCAAGTCACTAGTAACCAGAACTATCACCTGTATTACAGTGCTCAACAGAAGGTCCTTTAAAGTGTGAGGTTTCTTCAGCATATGTACAGAATATGAAATGAGAACAGGTCTGAATGGGATCCATAAGCCCCTGTTGCATCATGGGGGAAGGACTGGAGGAAGGCCCCGCCCGGTTCTGCCCCTCACCTTACACGTCCAGTTCATTCTTGATGAGTAGTCAACCCATGGTTTTTCTGCAAAATGCAAAATGTAGTTTTCAGCGGTTTTCCCGTGCGGCCATCCCTGTGGGGAGGAGGAGGCCACGGCCTGTGCGGCCATCCCTGTGGGGAGGAGAAGGGCAATGGAGTTGACAGTGCTTTACTCAGGGAGACACAGATGCTGGGTTTTTTTTTTTTTTTTTTTTTTTTTTTTTTCACTGTAAAACCATTCTTAGTTTGTGGCTATCACAAGTAGCTGAATCAGGCCTGGGTCTTCTGCTGGCTGCTGTTCAGACTGACCTGGGTGGGTTCTCATCAGTCCCTCTTGTTCCCAGAGGCCACCAGATTGCAGCAACTGACCTGCCACCTGCCACTTAAATTTTGTGTATGTGCACGTGCGTGTGTGCGTGCGTATGCATGGACGAGCCACAGTGCACATGTATGAGTCAGAGGACAGTTTATGGGAGGTAGTTACACCCCCTTTTTCCCCAGAGGCCACCAGATTGCAGCAACTGACCTGCCACCTGCCACTTAAATTTTGTGTGTGTATGTGCACGTGCGTGTGTGCGCGCGTATGTGTGTGTGTATGTGTGGTTGTTGCTGTTATTGTGAATGAGGCATTTATTTTGCTTAGCTCAAATTTTTTTATTTTGTTTTGATTGACACTTAAGAATTGATATGT